AGAGTTTGCAAGCTTCGGCTAACCATTTTTTAATTGATATAATTCGATTCGGTTAATAGTTAAAGATTTTACATAATTTCGATTATCAGTTATTTCGCTTCGAAATTGTTAGTTAACCAAAATTTTATGTATGTATGTATATTATTAATTCCTAAATATTTAATAATATTAATTTTTATAGACATTGATGTAATAGGAAATGTTAATCATGTGATTGTTGAACTAAAAATTGTTGAACTAATTGTTGATCATGTGATTATCTGATGGAAGGTATATTTACAGGGATTCTTACAATCTAATAGTGTTCACATTTTTTGGTTATGCAAGGACCAAAATTTCATATGATGGCTTGAAGACAACTGATTTAGAACAATCGTTGTAAGTCACGTTCATAGACAGTGTTTAAAACTGTTGTCTTTATTTATAACGTCAACGGTTAAAAACAGTTATCTTTGAGGGAAACATACAACAACACTCAAACAAGGGTTTTTTAACTGTTATCTTTGATATATACGACAACGCTAAAAAATCGTTGGGTCATTGAGCATGACTTACAATGACACTGACTTCAACAATAGATTTTTTACTTAAAGATAATTGTTTTTTAACTGTTGTCTATGTGCACAAGTTTCAAATATTCAAGTTGCTCAAGTCCATATTTGTTGTTCAAGCCAAATTTTTTTATGTTAAATTTTAATCTTCAAGTATTTTTCAAGCGAATGATAAAATGTTTGTGTAGACCTACAACTTCTATGTTTTGCATGAAGTTATTACCTATGCATAGTTTGCTCTTCCTCCTACTCATGCAAGAACACTTGCATAAAGCTAAAAGGGTAAATAATTATTTAAAAAAAAAATTAAAACTAAAAAGAATACTTCAAAAATGCTAGATATACAAATAAAAACATCTCAAAAAGTAATTTGAAAAATATCAAACTTTGAAAACATACCTCAAATACTAAAAATACATAGAAAGACAACCAATAACCATAATAAGTAGTAAAAAGATTAATCAAGAGAAAAAAAATGAAAAGCATAAAAATAAAAATAAAAAAATCCAAAAAAGAAACAAAATTGAGAGAAAAGAATAAACTAAAAATTGCAATGAAAAATTCAAATCAATTTTAAAAGAAAAGGCACTGAGTCATTTAGTAAATAACAATAGTAAAACACTTTTAACAAAATTAATTTTAGTAGTGTGTCTCTACTAAACACAGACGCCTATTATTTTTGGTAGTCATATACCCCTCAAGTAGAATACCAAGTTTAGCAGTTGGTTCTAGCTTGCATACGTGTCAGTACCAAGACCCGACCGGTGCCGAGCTCATATCAACCGGTCGATTAGAACCCCCATACTCTGTCCCGATCACAGCCACGTGTTGCGTTTAACCGCTTGTAGCACGTGTAGATTCACCCTCGTTAGAGAACGACGCGTGTAGGGTTTCCTCGAGTAGAACGCTCTTAGTTGCATGGGAGCCACGTGTCAAACATGCTGGGAGTTCGGGAGCAGTCGCTTTGTCCCTATAAATACCCGCAATAAATGCGGGTAGGGGGGACGTTTGGAGAGTTGGAGATAGGGAGAGTATTGCCGACCCCATATCCCTCTATCCCGACCAAGAGCTCATAACCTAGCAGTACAATACATAACATCGTATTTACGCTATCAATTTTATTTTAAAAAAATTAATTGGAATTTGAAACTATAAATTATAAGAATGTACTATAATTATGACATGACACCAGGTATTTCTATTGAATCTGTAGATACAACCAAAGTTATTCCTCAACTAATCAGTACACAATTAACTGTTTGGACAAAGATAAAGAAATTGATGAAAATGGACAATCGCTAGGTTACTGCAAAATATTTGACATGTAAAAACAATCAATTACCCACAATCTTCAATTGAAATGATAAGCATACCTTTTGAGTTCTGGGAGAACATATTAATGTAACTTGTTTGCACATAACATATTAGCACTCCAACAATTGTGAGAAGAAAAAAAATAATAAAAAAATTCTGCAATTCTGCAAAAAAATATAAGATGTTTGATGATAACTGGAAAGGTCAGACTCAAGAGACACAAAACAGTAAAAACACATGAGATAAGAAGCCACAACATTGTTTATTCCATTTAAATTTTGATCGAGTTTCCTCCCAGAACTGAAATAGAAGTCAATGAAGGCCTCCATAAAAAAATTATAGAAAATATTTTAGCCAAATAAAGCAAGTGAGACATCACATAAGCAAACAAATCACAAACTTTAAAATGTCAACATCTTTTAGTATCTAAAACTTTCTAATGAAAAAAATAAGTTTTGGTGACCGAGTTCGGACAACAACTCCGGAGCTCATTACCTGGTTGGCTGGTTCCAACAAGAACATGTCACTAAGAAGAGTTTGAAAGAAGAAGAATATTGCACAAATCGTAATACCGCAGCAATTGAGATTTAAGGGCACACATGTCGAGTAGAAAACATCCATTTCAATTATAATTGAGGAACCGATAGAGAAAACTCCACTGCCAGCAAGAAATTCATACCACCAAGCTCCAATAAAGAACACTTTTAACAAAAGGGAAAGTAACACATGAAAATTTAAACCCTAAACAAAACAAAAAGCACAAGAATAACAATGCAGAAAGAGCCAAAGCAAAAAAAAAAAAAAAAAAAAAATGGAAAGAAAAATTGTTTTTGAAATGTTAATCATTATAAAACATTAAAAAATACTTTTAAAACACAAGCAGAAAATAGAAATAGGAAAACCTAAACTCCTTTATTTTAAAAACAAATTTGGATCACTTAGGGAATCATAGAAATAAAAAAGTTTTTAAAAAAATTAAAATAAGGGTGGCCTAGTGAAAATAATAATAATAAATAATAATAAAATTGTACTATAACTTTAAAAATATACAATGAAAACTAAAAACATAAAAAGAATATCAAATAAAACAAAATGGATCGTAAAGAAAAGATAAACCAACACACACAAAAACTACAAACATACACCAATAAAATAAGAATAACAAACTAAATTACAATCGCTACTCCTAGAGAAATAAAAAAATCAATAAAAATACCACTACAAACATTTAAAATACTTCAGCGAAAACTAAAAATACATAGAAAGAAAGTGCAAAATATATTCCAAACAAAAATCGTTGTAAAAGTCAATTAAAAAACATACGTACTAAATTCCAAAATGTTCTTTCAAAATATTTAGTAAAGACAACTTTAAAAACAAAGTGAACTTGAAATAACATAACAAATAACACCAAAAAAACATAATAAGCTCTAAAAAGACAAATTATCCAAGAAAAAAATGAAAATGAAAAAAAAAAACATAACAAATCCAAAAAGAAAATTAAATTAAAAAAACAACTGAAAATCGGTTATCAAAATTATAAAAAATACTAAATTATAAAATGAACTTTGAAAATATAAATTTTAAAACCAAAAAGAAAAAAACACAAAAACAATAACTCAAAAACAAAACAGAAAGAAAACTAAAAATCAGTTAATAAATATAAAATATTAAATTATAAAATGAGCTTTTTGAAAATATGTAATGGGAAGTAAAAATATGCACAAAAAAAAAAAAAAAAAAAAAAAAAGCGTTTAAAAAAATTAATGCAAAAATGTGAAGGAAAAACCATATTAAAAAGTGAAAATAAAAACAAATAACCACTTAAAATCATATAAAAACTCTAAAAAAAAACAATTGAAAAACATTAAAAGCACCTAAAAAAGTAATTTAAGAAATATAAGTACATACTAACTTAAATAACCAACTTTACAACCAATATTCAATACATTCACTGGTCTTGATATACATCTTTCACTAAATTAGAAGGTAGTGCCTGTATGCAAAATGAGGAAAAGAAACAAGCAATGCAACAGTGCTGGAAACACAAAGGTAATCTAAACACAGAAATGAAAAGCCCAAAACCAGTTGGAATAGAGGAAGGAGGAAGCATTACGTGTGGCCTATTGGACCCAGCATGTGTAGGCTCAGAGCATGCTGTCACATAATCTTGAGTATGCAAAGCACTCCTACAAGTAAATTGCAAAGTCAGGACTTGCTCCTGCAAAGTAGAGAAGATACTTTTTAAGTTCATATCAAATGTTAAAACATGGAGAACTATAGTTGCAACAATGATAGCTAAAGGTGAGCCATAGCCCAAAACAATTTAAAAACTAAAAAGAACCACTTAAAAATGCAAAAAATCATTTTAAAAAACTAAAATGGCCACTTGAAAAAACACTAAAACTAACTCAAAAACAAAAACGATAAGAAAATTGAAAAGGAAATGCTAAATAAAAACAAAATGAACAATTAAAAAAAACATAAAAATCACAAAGAGAAAAGAACCAAAAAAAAAAATGAAAGAAAAACCATATTAAAAATTAGAAATAAAAATTACATAAAAAATAATTTTTAAAACTAAAAAAACACTTGAAAACACTAAAAATACATGAAAAAGTAACTTAAGAAATATAAATACAAAACTGTAAAATAAAAATTGAAAATACACAACAAAACTAAAAATAAGTAAAACGAACAACAAAAACCATAATGATATGAAAAAATATATATATATTCAAGTGGGAAAAAAATGAAAAGCAAAAAAAAAAAAACAAAAACAAAAACAAAAACAAAAACAAAAGAAACTAAAAGAATTTATTTTTTAAAAAAAAAAAAAACAAAAGAAGATTAAACTGAAAGAAAATATAAAAAGACAAACGAATAAAACTAAAAGAAACTTGAAAAAAAAGGCTAAAAATAACTCAATAACGAAAACAAAAAAGAAAACTTAAAATTATTTATTACAAATATATAAATAAATTATAAAATGAACTATGAAAATATATTATGAAAAAAGAAATGAACAATTAAAAAACGAAGGAAATTAATGCAAAAAATACAAACGATTAAACACAGAGTAATATGTTAGGCAAAGCCACACATGCAAATTCACCACATTGTGAAAAATAATACCTAAATATTATAATTTGGTAGGGTTTCCTCTGCCCTGGCAACAATGAAATGGCAAAACCTCCATCATCTGCAGTCGTAACAACTCCTAGACACAGTCAATAAAATTAATTGCGCATAGATATTAACCACTGATCATGAAGTATCTTGGCATTTATTTCTTAAAATCATTTAAACTATAAGCAAACCTTTGAAAATCCCAGTTGGTTCACCATCTTCCCCACCGGTTGGATCTATCAGGAATGTGCTTTCACGGTTTCACCCATCACAAAATCTAACGCACTTGAGACATTGCCTGCAAAATAATTCAGAATGAAGTGAACCACAGCCATGAGGGGGATTTAAAAAAAAAAAAAAAAAAAAAAAAAAAACATACACACACATATAAAGCAATTAGTAATCACAAATTCATGTTTAGATTGATTTTGCTGAATATTTAGTAATCATTACAAAATACACTCACTTGTATATGCTGGTCAGTAATGCAATATTAACAGGAATTTAATTAATTGGAAAAGATTTGGTCTTATTAATCCTCAGCAATGTAACTAGATAACACACTAAGTTTGTGTATTGCATGTATAGTCATATTATTCCCCAATATATCCAAAACAGAACAGACAAGTTGAAAATACTTTTCTAACTTCAAAAATATGAAAACAATTTAAAAACTAAAAAGAACACTTAAAAATGCAAAAAATATTTTAAAAACTAAAATGGCCACTTGGAAAAAAAAAACTAACTCAAAAACAAAAACGAAAAGAAAATTGAAAAGGAATTAACGCTAAATAAAAACTTTAAAAAAGAAGAAAATTAACGCAAAGAATAAAAAAAATTAAAAAAAAAAAACATAAAAATTACGGAGATAAAAGAATCCAAATTAATGAAAGAAAAACCATATGAAAAAGTAGAAAAAACAAACATAAAAAATAATTTTCAAAACCAAAAAAGCACTTGAAAACACTAAAAATACTTGTGAAAATATATTAAGAAATATAAGTACTAAATTGTAAAATAAACACTGAAAATACACAACAAAACTAAAAATAAGTAGAAAGAACACAAAAACATATTGAGCTATGAAAAAAAAAATTATCCAAAAGAAAAAAAAATGAAAAGCATAAAAGAACTTAAGAAACTAAGAGAATTTTAAAAAAATAATAATAAGATTAAACTGAAAGAAAAAGGAAAGTATTTTATAATTTTGAAAAGATGAAAAGGACTGTATCTTGTCCATATGAAAAAGTAGAAATAAAAAATAACATAAAAAAAAATTTAAAGCCAAAAAAACATTTGAAAACACTAAAAGTACATGAGAAAAAATATTAATTAATTAAGAAATTTAAGTACTAAATTGTAAAATGAACATTGAAAATACACAACAAAACTAAAAATAAGTAAAAAAAGAACACCAAAAAAACATAACAATGAGCTATGAAAAAAAAAAATTTATCCAAAAGAGAAAAAAAAAATGAAAAGCATAATAAAACTTAAGAAACTAAAGAATTTAAAAAAAAAAAAAAAACAAAAGAAGATTAAAATGAAAGAAAAAATGAAAATACGTTATTAAAAATATAAAAAGAGAGATAAAAAGCAATATTGTTCCTTTCTACTAAGTTCAGAGTTTGGGTTGCAAACTGTTTGTATTACTCCTGAAAATGGTGGCATGGAGAGAGAGTACACATTAACATATAATAACAAAAAAGAAAAAAAAAGGGAATTGTATAAAGAGAGACCTCTCGCATACAAAGTGGGCACGCGCCATCATAAAGCATCTCAATTTTCCAATTCTTTTCAGCCCTAGCTGAAAATCTTGGGAGCCACAACATACACAGTTGTTCCACTTGTAGCCTTAACTGAAAATCTTGATTCTGAAATTACATAGAATATAGTAAAACAATTGCACAATCAACAAACAACCCACGTTCATTCCAATTATCATCAATGTAATACTCTTTATGATTTTTAGAAACATGGAACATTCTATTTAGAGTAAAGTCTACAAGTTGTTTGGCCATGGATGGAACACAACCAGACCCAGAATATGAAAACAGAAAATTGTTCATTTACAAATCATAAATATGACTACGTTATTTGAAAGACAGGGATGAAAGAGTACCAGGAAGATTATGGATTGGGGAGTGAAGGTGAAGAAACCCGAAGTCAAAGGTATGAGTCAAGATGCAGGCTACGGGCGAGAATCACAGCAGGCGACGTCGGCGAATCGACGGTAGGGAATGGCAGAAGGAAGTGTACGTGAAGAGCGACCGTTGAAATTGTAAACACTACTAGGAACAGCGTTTACCTTTGGAGAAGTTGTTCCAGTATATATGCCCCCAAACTATGAAAAAATTACTTATAGAAGAACAGACCTCAATTAATGAGACTCGTTGTTTGCTGATCGCTAACCCCTCGTTGGGCAAGCAACCCGAGCGACAACTTTCTTGAGCCTTGAGGCCCCTTTTATAGGAGCCTCAAGGCTCCCCCTGCCACTTCTCCCACCGATGTGGGAGAAGTGGTAGAATTGAGGGGAGCCGCGGCTCCCTTTTATCTTTTATCTTTTATTTTTTTATTTTTTATTTTAATAATAATAATTATTTTTAACGAACAAAAATAATTCACTAAATGCTTTAAAAATGATTAAGGGAAGCCAATAAAAGACTAGTAATAAAGTAAACACAAAATATATATATATATATATATATATATATATATAATACTTTTAAGTCAAGTAAAGTTTGATTTCCTCAAATTGATCAAATTGAAGAACTTCGGTTAACTATTTTTTAATTGATATAATTTAGATCGATTCATGGTTATGAATTTTACATAATTTTGATTATTAGTTATTTTGGTTCGAAACGGTAGGTTAACCAAAGTTTTATGTATGTATGTATATTATTAATTCCTAAATATTTAATAATATTAATGTAATAGGAGATGTTAATTTTTATTTATAATTTTAAGAATTTCAAAATTTAATTAAAAATTTTGGTTAATCGATTAACCGACCGATTAATAAAAAAAAATACTTTATTTAAATCGGTAATATAAATTTCGGTCCATTTAACGGTTAAAAGTTTAGAAATTTTGGTTAATTCGGTGCGGTTATCATCAATTAACCTAATACATACTCCTACATTTTTTTTTAATTTAAAAGTATTACATTTTTTTTACTTTATTACTAGCCTTTTTTTTAGCTTCCCCTAATCATTTTAAATTTTAGCTATAAGATTTTTTTTGTTGGTTAAGGAGTATTTAAATAAACTTACAAAGAAAACAAAATTAATATATTTTTCACTTATTAGATACTAAATAAATGGGGTCATATATATAATTAAGGGACTGATATAATTGAGAGACTAAAATGACCTGAACTAACTTTATTATAATGTAGTATAGGCTTGAATCCAAAACCTCTCCTATGAGAGAGCAACTTGGTGTCATTGGACCACAAACCTGGGTAAACTAATCCATTATTATTGCACACTACATTATATGATGTTATTTATTTTAAGAGGAAAAATGACATTTGATTTCCGAATGTTTATCTAATTAATTATATATCTATATACTAAAAGTGAATAATGATAGGGTTATAATAAAAATACATTTGTGTTAGTGTAATATATTAAATTAATGACTTTCCTTATACTGAAGTGTTTGAAAAATGGATGATCAGTTGTTACCGTTGCTTATGATTGACCTTTGGTCTGGCTCTGATACCAAATTGAAACATGTGCTCTATCTCAACTAAAAGCTTAAACTGATAGTTGGATTCCACATTAATGGCTATATGCTCACAATTAACAATTCGGTGTGGGACACACATCAGATGCATAGATGGAAGAGCCAAGACTATTTAAATAAGGAGCCTTAAGGTTCCTTTTTACATTTCTCACCGATGTGGAATTAGTGAAAAATGTAGAGAAATAAGGGAGCATGCACAACAGGGTGTTGGCAGTTATTCATTATCCCCAATGACGCTCTAGGGGGATTTATAGATTCTACTATTTAATTATTGGTTGTCTTTTATAAATTTTGCTTGGTTTTATCCGTATGTCTTAGGCATTGATTAGTTTTTCATTTTAATTGAGTCATCAACAAATATTTAGGCTATATAATAAAACCACGGCTAATACTATTACTAGTAGTCCCTATGAGATATGAAACTCATTACTTAACCTTCTATACTAAAAAAAAAAAAAATGATAGGTGCACTTGCATAATCGGATATATATATATATATATATATATATATATATTTATTTATTTATTTATTTATTTATTTATTTATTTATTTATTTATATAGTTGTAAATCAGGTATCGATCACTAAATTAAATGTTTTTTTTAAATTAATTAGATTAAAATATAATATTTTTAAGAAAACTCTCAGCATTGTTTAAACAAAACTCTTGTTTTAGCACGAATATAATTGATTATATTGTATTGTAACATGTCTCGAACAATAACAACCAATGAATTCAAAGGCATTGTCTATAGTAAAAACATGTATGTAACATGATAAAATGGTAACTAAAATGCTAGAGGTGGTTCACAACTTTTTAAATGATTTTTCAAGAAAAAGAGAGAAAACAATCAAACATACTAAAGTAAATAATGAGACATTAAATTTTATTATGAAAAAAGGTGGAATCGCCCACCCCATGTGCTCTCACATCTCGCCCTGACAGTTTGTGGCGAGGTAAACCATGGTGACTCAACTGATCAATAATTGTGACCAGTTGAGCTACCCATGCGGACAATACATGAAATTTTCTTATTCAACCTTTGGAGGACCAAGCCTTAACTCCAGATCCAAATCCTCTATAGGGTTGGGGAGAATTTCAATACTCGGGTTTGACAACAAACCAGATAGAAAATTTATTTCTATTGTCCTTCTATTTCCTTGAGCCTCTATAGGTGCAGTGGGATTATTACCATTATGAACACCACCTCGACCATTAGATAGAGCATACTCCATCAACCTAGCCTTGTCCCTCCAGTGCACGTTTGTGTGTCCCCCGAGGGCTTGCGGGGACATGAACTCTCTCCTGCAAAAGCGACAAATATAAGTTCGTAGTGGCCATATATAACACCCGAGTGTCCTAGTTGTGTCCGCCGCAATAGCGTGCTCTTCCCATAAATTACCATTGAAAGGGGGTTTGTTGAATACACAAGGTGGTGATGATGAGAACCCATCAAATGATTCGGCCACATCTATCACCTCGCTTGCTCTATCCTACAACAACCTTAAGATATTGGGAGGGAAAACACAAGTTATATAGAAACAATATATGCTAAATTATTGTAAAAATTTAGTAGTCTCAACACTATATATGGTATATTAAATCATATACTATATGTGTCGTATTAAAATTATTATTTATATTTCATTTTATAGATGTAGATTTTATGAATTTGAAATATTATGATATGCCAAAAAGGAAATATGTAACAACCCATCCATATAAGTTATTATGATGCCTAATTAGTGAATAATTAATTGCACATTAATATGGTGATTAAGAAATATTTGTTGTGAATTGAGATGTTTCCTAGTGTGAATTATTATATAGTTCTTATCTAGAATACAATTGATAACACCATATAAACTATAAATAATATAAGTAAACAGAGAAAGTAAGAGAAAAAAGTTCCTTTAATTTGTTATTTATCCTTTATTTCAACATACTAGTCTTTCAAGCGCATTGGGCGAATGAAATAATCTCTAATGTTTATTTTTAAAATAAGTAAAAATGTGAAATAATATAAGAGAGATTGATTATAATTGTTACTAAAATAAATGTTTGCAACTTTGTAAAAACGCTAATCTCAATATTTAGTCTATATAAATATTATTTTTGTTTGAATTTCTCCAAGCCTTCTTAATTATTTTTTAGGTAGCATTGTCAGTGTCTCTATATAAAATATTATTTTTATTTGAATTTCTCCAAGCCTTCTTAATTCTCTATATAAATATTATTTTTGTTTGAATTTCTCCCAGCCTTCTTAATTCTTTTTTAGGTAGCATTGTCAGTGTCTTCATCTTCCGTTATTATTATTATTATGTATTTACATGTCTCTATATAAATATTATCCGTTATTATTATTATTATTATGTATTTACATGTCTCTATATAAATATTATCCGTTATTATTATTATTATTATTATTATGTATTTACATGTCTCTATATAAATATTATTTTTGTTTGAATTTCTCCAAGCCTTTTATCCATCATTGATATAATAATTTGTTGTGTGATTTGAATACTCTCTTTGTCAACAAATCCTCAACCCTCAAGTAGAAACACAAAGAACCAATAACGCATCAACTAAGGCTCGAACTTATAACCTTCCAAATAGAAGTCAAACCCGGGTACTATTAGACCATATAGTCCTGGTATCCCTCAAGTAGTTAATATGATTGGCTTTATTAATTATATTTTTTTAATTTTTTTCATTGTATTAATAAAATACTTGATAAATAAATATATAGCATTATTTTGTATTATAACTTTGATATTTAATTAAAAAAAATAGTGCACAAAAAAAAGATAATAGACAATGTAGTGAATATAATCAATTGATGAATTTGAATGTAAAGAATTTTTACATTGGAGAAATATAAAGATAATATAACTAATAAAATTATTTCTCTTAATTAATTTATTGATAATTGATACAATAAATACGAGTATATGCTGAGTACTGAAGCTCGGGGTCCCAATAGTGGATCGGGAGGCTCCGGTTCAATCAACTGCCAAAAGTCTCCCTCCAGCTGCATTAAATGTCGTATTTATAGGTGGTCCAGGG